AACTCTCCCAGGGACTGCACCACGCAGGCAGTAAATATTTGGAGCTCACCTTTTCGAGCGGTATTTTTTATTTGAAAAGACGTAGATTGCAAGGCAACAGAAAACTATGAGACGAACTGCTCTGCTCTAACTCCAGCTCTATTTAGGAAGTAAAAAGGCGAATTCCGACTATGTGCATCTCATTTCTACGGCCGTTCTAGCCAGCCGCTGCTGTTCAGTGTGACAACTGCTCTGGGGCGGCAGAGACATCTAGTGGGAATGAGATTTTTACCGTGGCCGCTCAGCAGAGACGACACCTTTTAAACTACAGCCTTTTCAAAATAGTGCATTCGAAAATGATGCCCAGGGGCCGAGAGGCTTCTTGTACTACTGCTATCCCTGCAGCCACGCAGCCCCAGTCGATATCGTATTTCTGAAGGAGCAAAACGATAGCCAAGTAGTGATTCTCATGGTCACCTGGGTTTAAATCGTGGCGTAAGCATTTCCAGCTCACGAGGCGCACGCCTTGATGGGGGGGAGCCCAGGGGGAAGCGAAGCGCAGCTCGGCGCTGGTGTTAGCGCTGAGCTGCCTCCTCCCCGCTCTGGGATGAGTTTCAACTCCTGCTCCCTTCCAGGAAGAGTAGACGTGTTGTGTCACATCTCACCCCGGAGTGGCAATTCCAGAGTGACTCAGTCTTGTTCCCCAGCGTCACATAATCCGGCCCAGCCACTGCTACTCTTTTTTCCTGGGTCTTAGCAAAGGAGGGAGACAAGAAGGGAAGGGAACAGTCGGGAGAAAAGAAATTAGGCAATGCTGCACTAAGTCAAAATTACAGATGGTGAATATTTTAAATTCTGGAGTAATAACACTTCTGGCATTGTTTTTTATTACGGCTGCAAGCTGAAGAGTCGCCGCAGCCTGGTGTCATGTGTGGATTGAGTCATAGGTTCAAGCTGATCTCTCCTGAAACAGGTTTCTAGAGTTCAAGGATCTCCACTAAAAATAACTTCCTTCTTGTAACTTGACAAATGGAAAACTGTAATCATCGAGAAGGTTGGTTTTGGGTTACTGATGGAAAAAACAGCCTGTGGGATCATCCAGTCCCGCTCATATCAGAGTGACTGAAGCAGAATTAGCAAAATCTGATGCCCTGGCTGTCAGTGTTTTCTTAGATACCATTATTTTAGTAGCGAAATCTTTCTAAAATCATAGAATCATAGAATGCTTTGGGTTGGAAGGGACCTTTAGAGGTCATCTAGGCCAACCCTCCTGCCGTGAGCAGGGACAGCTTTAACTAGATCAGGTTGCAACAATAATAATAATAATAATAATTTAAAAACTAAACACAGCTCCTTTTCAAGCAATTATCATAATAAAAAATAGTTGTGGAGATGCTGGATGACTCAAGAAATCGGAAAGGGCTAGCGTATGTTTTACCTAAAAGTTATCAAATCAAAATCAGCCCGGTTTGATTTTAATTGACGGTGGC